ACTGTACAATGCCAATACAACAAAACAAAATACAATTTATGTTAATGTCGTTACAAAGAGCGTGAGTGCGCGTGTATTTTCTCGGTCTCATTCAGTGTCCCTTCTCCTCTTCCTGCTGCTGTTGGCCTCCTCAATGAAGGGTGCGATACATGAGGAGATGTTCTGTGAACGCCTCTCCCCCTCCCCCCTCTCCCTTCCTGTCTCTCCTCTCCCTACGTTTCTCTCCTCTCACGCTCTGGCGCCCAGCAACGCCATTGTTCCATACGGGACACGGGAGAGGAGGAGGAGGAGGGGGAGAGTCGATCAAATGGCGCGGGTGTGTCGTCGCCCTCCTCTTGGTAGTGGCGGTGGTGGTGTTGGTGGAGGTAGTAGTGGTGGTGGTGGTGTTGGTGGAGGTAGTAGTGGTGGTGGAAGAAAGGAACGCCGCCGCAAAGGCACACCGACGGCTGCTGCTATCGCGGTGGTGCGGCGGTGAAGTGCCGGGAGTACTACACCACACACACGACGGACGACGGCGACTGACCTGCTAAGCTTTGTGAATGGGCGGGCCGGGGCCGGGGCCGGGGCCGGGCGGGGACATCTCAAAGCGTTCCGTGTGTGTAGTGTGATTGTGTGAGTGTGTGAGTGTGTACAGCGGGGGGTGGGGGGTAGGAGTCCTTTCTTCTCTTAAACGGTCTCACTACCCCGCGCCAGCTGCGTTAAGCCCAGTCCTACTGTCAAGAGACTACCCCCCCTCCCCGCACCCCCTAAAAAAACTCGTTGAACGTTGATAATTCATATTTTGAAAATTAGTAAACACGTCTACAAATTAACTGTTCCATAAAATGCAAGGTATTGGAACGGCACACATTAATTCGTGTCCGTCCTTGTCTCGTTTTGCACGTCAGGGTAAAAACAATTGGCGTGCACTGCGGGACGAATAGTTTCCCCGTTGGTCGCTCGCTGGTAGTGGGCGCGGGATTCTCTTACTCGCGTGCCCAAGGTGCACACGGGAGGAACCGGGGGGTGGGGGTGGGGGTGGGGGGTCTCCGAGCCGAGTGCAGCTATTCTCCTCAGTGTCACGAGCCAGGTGGGTGTGTGGCCAGGTGAGGGAGGGATGGGGGTAGGGGGTGGTCAGAGAAGTGATGGTGTGCGGGAGCACTTCCCACCTCGTTGCCCCAGGTATAATAATCAAGGTGATTTAGAGAGCACGCTCGGCGAAATTTTCGCGTATTTCATGTATAACCTTGGGTGTCCGACGGCGGCGTCCGTCGCGGCGGGAGGTCGTTAAGCGTGCGTCCAATCTGCCCGACCTCTTGCTGAAGACACCGAAAAAGACAGAGGGAACGAGAGATATTGTCGTCATCATTTTGATTAGTTTTTCCTCCCCGTACTTTAAATTTCGAAAGCGTCTAAAAACATATACTCTTTCCGGCCACACACCATATAGAGACCTATTATTCCGACGTTTCGACGTATGGGGGACAACATGTCAAAAGTAATTGCTCTTTTGTCACGCAGGGCGAATGCGAAAGGTGTGCTTCAAATAATTATTGTGAAGTCACTCGGATGTGCTGTTTCCTTGACGCATCCACCCCTGTGCGTGAGGAGATCGCGAGCAGGCGACCGGTGGTAGTGATCCTAGACTTTTAAATTTCCCGCCAACCAGACGCATGTATCGGCCGGTGCTATCCTTAAACTGTAGGTGTTTTTCATTTATCACCACTCTGCCACAATTTGCAGAAAATAGTCGGTAGGCGCGCAGGTCGACGCCGCTGCCAAGGATTTGGCGCTACCCTTGAGTCACTTCGGTCGCCCCCCTCTCCCCCCCCCCCCCCCCAAGAGGGTTCGGACGAGGACGATGCCGTATACGTTCTGTTCGGTTGCCGAGGCTTTTTAAAATTAAAATAAAAAGCCCGTGGAAACTGTGCCACTAGTCTCGTGCCAAAAGAGATGAAAACGCGTTTTTTTTTATCACCGCGACTTATTTGAGTTCAATGGGTTATGCTGTTTCCCTCCACCCTTCCTTCCCAAGACTCTTCTATCGCAATCTCCTAGTGGTCAGTTGTCCCCCCCTCCCCCCTTTTTTTTGGTTTTTGTTTTGCTTTTTGCTGATGTGAGTGTTGTAGTGTTGTCCAGAAGACAGAGTTTGGTGCTCTAGCATTGCGCTCTCGGTCAAGGAAGGGGTGAAGGTTTTTTCAACCACGTGTCGTGTTGTCGTGCACCAACCCAGTGAAAACGACCTTTTATGCTTACAAAAAAAACAACCAGTTTATTACAAAACATACATCGTTTCCCAGCTGCTCGCTGGCCTCTGCTTACGTCTATGCAATCCTCCGATACCCCACTCTCTATCTAATTCTTGGATTTACAAAATAACAATTATCAACAATCGATCATTTCTTGGCTGCCTCTACAACATTTTTTTAAACATTTTTTTCTCTCATTTTTTATATACAAAATAAAGATAAAACGTTATAAAATGGATTTATGATATGATAAGCTCACAGCACACGCAGGCAGGCGCTCCCCGTGACCGATTCTGGCCGTCGGCCGGTGCTCGACGGGGTCCGGGCGAGTCCTCCCGCCACATCCTGTACCTGTTCAACTTCGGCGACCTGGAGTGGCCCCACCCGCTAAAGGGCGCTGCGGGCGGCCGCCAGTCCGGGTACACACGACTCGCACCACATTCTCACCCCTTTCCTCCCGAGAATATCACTCGATTTCCTTCTCTAAACGTCACCCATAGCGCCTCGCTCTCACACGTCACTACATCGTCACAGTTAAAAGTCATAATAAATAATGAAGGTGATTGGTGATGATGATGGTGTGGTGGACGAGAAAGACGACGATGTCGTCGTCGTCGTCGTCCTCCTCGTCGCCGTCCTGGTGGTTCCCCAGGATGGCAGCTTCTTACTTGCCGATGATGATCTTGCGGCCGGCGCCCATGTTCTGTCCCGCCTGGGTGGCACCCTTGTTCTGGCCGGCCTGGAGGCCGATGATGGTCTGGCCAGCCTTGAGCTGCTCCTCGGTGAAGTCGCGCTTGGACTCGTCGGAGGGCTTGGGTCCCAGCTTGGGTCCGGTCCACTCGGGGTGCCTGTAGGTCTGCAAACCACAAACAAATAATTAAAAAAACAATCAATAAGAAAAAAATGTACGATTGAAAGAAAATGGCCTGAAGTTTCAAAGACTTTAAAAGTGCGAATGCTCACCTCACGGCCCAGGGCGAAGAGGCAGTTGATGACTGAGGCAAAGTCCTTGTTCTTCTCCCAGAGGTCGACGGTCTGGAAGACGTCCACGTCGGAGACACCGTACTCCTTCATGGCCTTCTGGAAGCTGGAAGAAAAGGGGGAAGACGAAGGTGGTTAGCTTACGCGACCCTGGATGGAGCTAGGATAGGAGAGGCCGGCGACGATATGTCACTAAGTCGGCGAGGAACACTCACTTGTTGATGTTCTCCATCATCTTGAACTGGCCGCCGGAGGAGTTGATCTTGGGCACGGCGCCGGGCTTGAGCTTGTTCATGAGCTCGCACAGCACCTGGCCGTCGCGGATGGCGTCCTCGAAGGGCTCCTCCAGCTTGCGGCCGAGGATGGTCTCGATCCAGCCCTGGGCCTCCTTCTCCAGCACGGGGTCGCGCTTGGCGGCGATCTGGAGGACAAGGAGGGAAAACGTTTTTGGTTTAGAAACAACCCCACCCCGCAGATTTGAAATCGACAACATTGACAGGAAAAAAATAATAAAATCATGAAAATTCCTCGGTAATAATTGTTTTCCAAAAACTCAGGTCCTGGAAGGGGGGGCTCACCTTGGCGCGGACGGCGCGTTCCAGAGACATGGTGATGTGTGTTGGGGGTGGCGGTGCTGGTCGGCTGTGAGTGCGCGGGCTGTTCCCACTGGTCTGCGAGTGCGAAGTGCTGCCCCCACGGCCGCCGTCCACGCTTTTATAAGTAGACCAGAGAGAAACGGCTTCGAGGTTCTTCTGTAGCCCCCCTCCCCTTCCCTCTTTCTCTCTCCCTCTCCCTCCCTCTCCCTCTCCCTCGCGTCTCCCACGCCACCCCCACCCTTCTCATTCGCCGCATTCTGTGCCTCACCCCTCCAAAAACACACTCTGACCACGGTCAGGCGGTCCCCTTCTCTCCCTCTCCACCC